AGAGGCGAGAGGGAAGGAGGAAACGTGATGAAACGAACAAAAAAAACGCAGGCCTCCCGGTTACCAGTCGGGCCCCCCGCACGCAACGAGAGGATCAATGCGGGGCGGTCTGACCCGGCCGCCGTCCCTACGACTACGGACGATAGCATGCCATACGGATGTATATTTGCAAGTGTTCGGGCGCGCTGGCGGCCCAGATTCCATTCCAGCACTCCGCCGGGGGGCGTGCTGCTTCCCTGCCCTGGCCGGCCGAATATCGGCCACGTGGCCGGGACAACGATGGACAAAAACGGGTCCCCCCGGCTCCCGGGGGGCGGAACTTTTGAGAAGCCCTCCCCGGACAAGGACGCCGGCCGGTGACCTTGCGGAGGCCGCGGGCAGCAGCCAAAGGTCACCGGCGAAGTTTGGCGTTAGCCGCCCGGCGGGAGAGTGGCACAACAGAAGGGAAGAGAGGACAGGAGGGGAGGACGGAGGGGAGCGTGCACAGTTTCGACTCCGCCGAGTCCAAGGCAGACCCCCTGCGACAATCCATCGGCCACGCGGCCGGGACAGCTACAGGCCCGCCGGCCTGGACCTCGCGACGTGCACGGGGGGGAGCGAGGAGGAGACAGGCAGGGGAGGCGAAGAGCCGGCCCACCCCCGGGGGGCTAGCCGGCGCTCCGCCTCCGGGAGGCGAGCGCGGGAGGAAGAGAAGAGAGGGGAGTCCAGCCAAGTTTCTTGCATCGAAAAATGCAACTCCATTGAGGCAGCCTGTAGAACGGCAGTGCGGAACCGGCCAAGGCGAGGCACTTAAATTTGCACCGCCAGACCGGCCAGCGAAAGGCCATGAACGCCGCTGTTCGGACTACACAGACGAACGGGAGGAGGAGGAGGAGGAGGAGGAGGAGGAGGAGGCGACAAGCAATGAGCCGAGAAAGCTCTAGCTACCGGCGATACGGGTGCGCAAGAATAGTGTGGCGTCGTGGCGTGCGCGGGGGCCGGAGAGCCTCACTCACGAACGCCTGTTCCACTTGGACTGCTGAAGAATGCCCCCGGACTAACTCCAGGGTGGCCTGGCCCAGAGCGTCTGCTGTCACTGGCCCCGCGTGCGTGCAGTGGCGGGCCCTGCAGTGCACTCTGTAGACGGCTGCCGTCCGCACCGCGGATCGCACGAGGAAGTCCACGGAGACGTTCCTCAGCGCGCCGTCGAGCAGCATGAAGTCCGCGAGGCTGTCCACCGCGGGTGGGAGTGCCAGCCGCCGCCGCGCGAAATCGCGCACGACCGGGCACCGCGCGTAGTGCTCGATCGAATCATCCAGGGCGCACCCGAAGATGCACGCCCGCTGCTGCTGGAAGCGGCGGCCTGTGCACCATCCGTTGAACCAAGTCCTCAGCAACGCGGCACGTACGCAGGGAGGAGTCGCAGTCCGCAGCATGGCGATGACCTCCTGCGCCCTGGCGACCCGGCGGTTCGGGAAGAGGCGCAATGGCCAGCGGTCCAGCCGGCGCCTCCAGAAGCGCGCGGCTGCCTCTGATGGGGGCGCCTGCAAGATTTCCAGGCAAGTGCGTTGCCACCGGGTCTGGCAGCGGTCTTCCTGCTCCTCTGCGTCCAAATTGTGCCCCGCGGCGCCGAGGATTGAGGTTCGAACGCGGGCGGCCCCCCAACCAAGATGCCCGAAATGACAGGCAGCAGAGTCCAGGTGCAGGACGGCCGCGTTCTGAAACCAAGAGTCCCACACTGCCCTCCTGTGAAGGAACTCCGGCGCATTCAGGGCTTCGCGCAGGGCGCGGGCACGACTCTCCACCTGCAGGCCTCCGTGGCGGCGAGCCTCGTAGACAACCACGCGAAATCGTGCCGCCAAGGAAAGCTGGTCGATGTCTGTGACGCCGCCGCCAAAGCCCATGGCCCGCGGGTCCCTGAGGAGCGCCGGCGAAAGCCATCCTCGCGGTCCTGGGAAGAGGTGTGCGAGTGCTTTGAGCTCGATCTCTACCCAGTTGCCCGGCGGCGGGAACAGCTGCGCCACGAAGCCCAGGACGGAGACCAAGTACACGCGCGCCGCGAGGAGCGTCAGTTGAAAGCCGCACCCCACCTTGCCCCAGAGGCGAGCTCGGAGGAGGTATTTCTCGAAAGGCTTGCGCCAGGATGCGTCCGCGGCCTCTGGGCCCAGGAAGAAGCCGAGGTATTCCGCCGAGTAGTCGAGCCGCATGGCGCCCCATCGAGGCGCGATCGCCGCCACGGAAGCCCGGAGCTCGTCCAGCGGCACCTGCCGGAGGGGAACAATGACCGTTTTGCCCCAATTGAGGCCCAGCCGGGAGATTTGCTCGTACTCGTGGAATAGCCTGTCGAGAACTGGGAGGTCTTGGTGGAGGTGCTGCGAAACAAGTGCCAAGTCGTCCGCGTATGCCCGGGGGACGGTTGCGGGGAGAAGACGTTGAAGGCGCCGGAGGAGTAGGTCCGCCACGATGGCGAACAGGAGAGGGGAGAGGGGGCACCCTTGTCGGACTCCCGCTGACAAGGCAAAACCTTCGAATCGTTGGCCGGCCACAACGATCTGGCAGACGTTGTCGCGGTAGAGGTTGGTCACGAAGCGGAGAAGGTGCGCTGGGAGACCGATCCACTCCAGGAGCTCCAGCATGAAGCCCTGGTCGGTGGAGGGGAAGGCCGCTCGAAAATCGAAAAACACACATGCCCCATCCTCCTGGCTGAGCGCAGCCATGCGCATCTCCGTGTCGATGTCCACGACGTTGGCCAGGAGGGACCGGCCGCCGATGAAGCCCCGTTGAACTTCAGAGACCCACTCCGAAAAGACCTCCTCTAGGCGGAAGCGGACAGCGTTCGCTAAGATTCTGTTGTCGAAGTTCGCCACGTTGATGGGCCTGACCTTATCGGCGTCGTAGAAATGGCCGACGCTTTCATCGAAGCCCGATTCCTTCTTCGGCAGGAGGTGGAGGAGGGAATAGTTGAAGTCAGGGAGGTGTAGGCGTTGTAGCTCCTCCCCCTCGGGGCTCGCCAGACCAGCGAACGCCTCGGCAAGGGTGTCGACGGCCAAGTCCCCCAGCTGTCGGTACGCCTCCGCCGGTATACCGTCGGGGCCAGGGGCGGAGGCGCCCGACGACCGTATCGCCTTCTGAATGTCGTCGCGGCGTATCTGCCATCGTCGCGAATGTGCTGGAGGCAGAGCAGCAGTGACGCTAGCGGGGAGGTCCTCCTCGAACCACCGCCGACGCAAAGCGGAGTCCGTTGGCCCTGCCCGGAAGACCTCCTTCCAGTGTGCGCGGAAGTCCGCGGCCATCTCGTTAGGGCGGGTGTGCAAATTACCTCGGACGCCCCGCGTGGCCTGCACGAACTTGCCTCGGCCAGGTGAGAGCCGAGAGAGCAACCGGAGGTTCGACGCGCGCCGGCGCTGCCGCTCGATCTCTGGCACGTTGGCCTGCTCTTCGTGCAAGCGCGTAAGTTCGTCGACAGCGTGGGAGCGCGCCAGCTCCACAGCGTGGGCACGAACTCGAAGAAGACCACGACCAGCTGCTAGTGTCGGGTCGTAGGGGTTCAAGACCAGGGAGCACAAGTGCGGGTACCGCTCGATCGCCGTGGTGATGGCGGAGGTGGAGTGGGTCTCGACCGCCCGTATGAAGGACATGGTGCACCCGAGCTTATCGTCGGGGGCATGGGCGAACTGGACGTCGGCGCGGCCGCCGGCAGGCTTGGTGGCCTCCCGGATGGCCTGCCGCAAGAGCGCCAGGCGGTGGACGCCGCTCACGGCCTGCATCTCTTCGCACAGGGAGTGAAAACGGAGAGCCACATCTTGCGACCATCCAGGTCGTCGCACAGAGGCCACCGGAATCGGCCGGGCCGAAGACGACTTGGGAGGAGGGGCGCGGCGGGCGAAGAAGACGGGGCGGTGGTTGGAGGTGCCAAAGTCCCATTCGTCCACTCCGATCGTGATCTGGCGGTCCAGCAGGTCGGTGGGTTCCATGTTGACGTAGAAGCGGTCGAGGCGGGAACGCGAAGTAGCCGAACTGTGCGTCATGCACGGCTGATGAACCTCAGCGAATCCTGGTAAGAGCCGGGTCCAATGAGCTTCTTCTGATCGATCGCGACTCCCCGTGTAGGCGCCGGTGAACTTGCTGAAGCGGTCCCTGTCCTCCGCGACCCAATTGAAGTCTCCTGCGATAATTGTCGTTGCCTCGTGGGATGGTCTCGCGCTTTGGGCCACAGTAGAGCGAAGGCGTGCCCGCTGCCTTGGGATGGGGATCAACTCCTGGTCGTGGAGCGTGTTCAGATCCTCCGCCGTGCCTGTCTGAAAGTAGACGACCGTCAAGTCCAGCGAGCCGCACGGGCCGTCCAGGCGGAGCACCGCCGCCCTGCCTGTGTGAAGGATGACCCAGGAGTGGCGGGAGAAGCGGGCCAACAACTCGTCCTTGACCACCACGCCGACGCCACCGCGTCGGGAAGTCCCTGGGGCCCACCATGCCTGGGCGCCGCGTGGGGCCTCAGCGAGCAAGAGAGACTCTGCGGTGCCGTGAGTCTCCGTGACCAGGACGGCGTCGTGCTGGCGCAGAAGTCGGTGTAGTGTCCGCCATTTGTGACCATGTCGACCGGCGTCAGCGGCGAAGAGAGCCTGCGCGTTCCAAGTGCATACTAAGAGGTCGCCTCGGTAGGGATGATCGGCTGGAACGACTCCTGGGCGAGGAGGTTGGCGAGAAGGGGCGGTATCCGCTGGCGCGGGCACGTGCGTAGATGGCAGAATGCCCAAGGCGCGGCGGACGAGAGCTTTCTGCCGGATGTAGATCGGGACGTCGTCGTTGAGGGTTGTCTGCAAAACTTGTTCGTCTCTGGGGGCTGGTAGGAAGGCGGGGAGGAAATCGGCGGCAGCAGCGAAAAACAAATTATCCATGCCATTGATGTTGGCGCCACGGCTGGTGGACGGGCAGCCGTCCAGCAGGCGTAACGCGACGTCGAGCATGTAGGTCATGCAGCCTGAGCTTGTGATGGCCCAGGCGATCGCCGGCTCGGTGGATAGTCAACGGGCGGCGGCGGCGCCCGACACCCGATCCTCCAGGTCGTTGAACACCTGCACGCGGAACGTGTCCATGCCCACCTTCACCGCCTTGTCGTGCAGCGTGTCCCGGACCTTGGCCACCTCCTCCAAGTCCTTCAGGTATAGGCGGAAGCGGCCGGGTGGTGCTGCGGGGTCATCGGCGGCCAGCCATTGCCACTTGCCTGCCCGGCGCCCGCGGTCCTCCTGCAGCTCGGTCAGCGAGATTCCCGTCTGGCCGACCAGGTGAGTGACGAGGTCCCGGATTAGCGCGTGCTCGTCGGCGTGGAGGTGGCCCTTGATCTCGACGTCCGTGATGGCCTGGACCGTCGAGGTGGTCCCGCGGGTCTGCTTTGTCCGACGCGTAGCCGCAATCCTCGCGGGAAGCGCCGAGGGCGAAGCAAATGGCCGCCCGCCGTGGCGCGACGGACGCCATTTCAGCTTGTAGACTGCCGAATCCGGGTCATTCCGCATCAGGGTATCCATGGCCTGCTGCCACGTGCTGGCGGTGGCCTCCGTCGTGAGGAGGAGGGTGGACTTGCTCAAGAAGAGGGCTCCAGAGCAGAGTGCCCAAATCGACGCGATCACGTCCGCGTGGCCCAACTCCGCGATGAGGGAGCCCGGCTCCGTGTAGAGGTCCTGGGAAGCGAAACACACGCCCGTGGGAAGAATCTGGCGGGCGTGGCGCATCACCGCCTCCTGATTGAGGCGCGACGTGGAGGAGGTGAAGCGTACCTCGACCCGCCCCCTGGGGGACTCGGCCGTGTGGCCTGGGCTGCGATAGATCCTCCCGATCTTGGGGGAGTGGCCGAGGTGGTTGCACAGGACGGTCATGAACTCCGCCCCCAGGGTCGACGGGAAGTCCACGAGATAGGTGGGCAAAGGCGCGGCCGTGACAACCGGGGACTCCAAGTCCAGGATCTTCGGGGGCTCGCGGACAAGAGAGGTGGATATCGTGAAGACCGCCAGCCCTCGAAGTTCGTGCCGCGGACCCGCCGGACCAGGGGAGACGAACTCCATCGGCTGCGGGTGGAAGTCGACGCGACGGCGGAGGGCGGTCCATTTCTCGCCCAGGAGGTCGTGCCACCACAGGTCGCAGATGCTCTCGACAGTGGCGCAGCCCGGGAAGAGGTCGAGCGGCGCGATGATGCGGACGTACTCGCATGGTACGCGGTCCGTGCTGCGTCGCAACAGCGCGGACAGGAGGCGACCGAGGGCAGCGGCGTTCGCGGGCGCCCAGAATGAGATGGGCCTCCCGGTGGTCTGCACGGTGTCCCAGAAGCTGGCGTCCCCTTTCTCCGCCAGGTCGGCGAGCAAGCGGGCTTCGTCCACCGGCGCCACGCGTCCCCGGAGTGACGCGTCGATCGCGGATATGTCCAATAAGGAGGACCACTGCGTACATGCGACCTCTGTGTTGCGCGGGGCGGTGCCCAGAACAGCCTTGAGTGCTTGGCCGCCTAACTCCCGCCAGAGCGGAAGTTTGGACGGCCGCATCCGCTTGCGCTCGCGGACCCACGTGTCGAACGATGCGAAGCAGGTCGCCGCGGCCGCCTCGATGGACTGGATGTCCTGCTGGGCGGTGGTCTTGTCCGCCTGCGGCCACGTCGCGCCGTCGATCATGGAGCCCAAGAGCTTCGCGAAGCGGAGGCGGGCCTCGATGGTGTTCAGCGACAGGTCTGGGCCCTCCAGCGAAGAAAGACCGAGGACGTTCCAGGCGTCAGCGGCCGAGGGGGCGTAGGCGAGCAACCGGAGGGTGTTCGCGAACTCTGCCCGGGAGTCGAGGGAACGCGGGGCGACCATCGGACCGTGCACACTCCGTGCAGCCTGCGCGAGCTCGAAATGCTGCAAGATCTCGTTCTCGATGAGGGACTCCCACGGTGACGGCGCCGGCAAACCTGGCCTCGCAGAACCAACACCAGGAGCCGGAAGCCCTGGCGGCAGCGTGGCGGGCCCCGCAGCAGCGGCGGCGGCAACGGCGATCGCTACGGCCTCCTCGTCGACCTCGATCGCGTCCAGCTCGGCCAGCGTCCTAGCCAAGCTGGGGTCCGCGACAGCGTTGCCAGAGTCCTCCATGCCGAGGGCGTTGAGCGTCTGCGTGAGGCCCGAGGTGGCCGTATCCTGCGTGAGGCCTGTGTTCGTGTCCTCCGTGTCCTCGGCCATCTCGGTGTCGACGTTCTGCATGCCTCCATGGAGTCGAAATGTCACGAATATCATCACCTCGTCCTGGACATTGTACTCGTTGAGCTTCCGGCCCGGCTCCATCTGCCTCCCTGCGTAAATCAAGCGCTGCTCGTCTGGGGGGACGCCCTCCCTGTCCTGTATCAAGAGCTTGAGGGGGTCGATCGTGCTTTCGGCCTGGGTGTCCAACGAGATCGGCTTCTTGCCTGGAAGCTTGACAAAGATATGCAGGGCCGCGGCGACGTCGTAGACCAGCTCGTCAAGTCTCTCGTCGTCCTGGTCGCCGTGAACGTCGTCGTGGAGATCCTCGCCCTGGTCGTCGTGGATGCCCTGGTGGTCGTTGTGGCCGCCAGCGTAGGTGTTGGCGTCGGTGTAGGTAATCGTGGCGACGGTCTCGACATGGTGCTCCAGGTCGTCCTGATTGTCGTGGTCGGCTGTATCCTCGTCGTCGCCGTGGATGTCGTGAGCATCATGGACCTGGAAGTTGGGTAGAAATTGGTCCATGTGGGCGACGTCCGGGTCCAGCGCAGCGCCTGCGGCGCGCCAGGGACGCCCCGCGTCGGCGTGGCGCTGGCGCAGCGGCCGGGCCAGCTGAGCGCTCATCGCGGCAGGAGCCGGCGGGCAGGAGCCGGCGGGCAGGGCGGAAATGTTACTTAAGACCGGGTTTTTCGATGGCTTGACCCTCGATGGCTTGAGCCACTTGAGCCAGGCTCGAATTGGCTTGACCTTCGATGGCTTGACCCTCGGTGGCACCCATACACTCTGCAGAACGCAATGCCCACAGACACCATTGCGCCGGTGTGCACCGCTGTGCTGACTGTCGCGCTCACAAGCACTGTCATCATACGTGCAAGAGCTGACGCCGCAGCTCGAAATCGGTCCCCGGACCTCTCCTGGGGTCCAAACTCACAAATTGTCCAAGCTGCGTCCAGCCGTGGCGACGAGCCCTCCCCCCCCCGAAGGCCAACTGACACTGTCTCAACTCGCCCTCATCTGACTCTCGGAGCGAGCCAGGTCACTCTCGACGTGGAGCTCACAGGCACTGCGCTGCTCACAGGCTCCGCGGTGCTCATCAGTTCTCCGGTGCTGACAAGCGCTGGGATGCTCGCGCGCACCCTGTGCGATCACGCAGGACCTGCCCTTGCTGGGTGACGCCCAACATGCCCCGAATGCCACAAGGCACATTATACGGCAATTTCGTGTCGTTACGGCCCCGGCGCTGGTTCCTGACACCGCGTGGATCGCTCGACCTTGAACGATCGGCGGTCTACCAATCGCCAGATAGTTCAAGCTTGCACGATCCTGGGCCACTGGCGGCGTTCAACCTCGAACGCCCGCGCTGTGGTCGCCGCCGCGTCGTCACGACACGAAATCACAGTGCGGGCGCGGCCGCAAGAAACCCTCGCAAAAAACCCAACCCTGAAGACCCGCGCGCTGCATCTGAGGGGAAACCTCGAGCACCCTGCACGCGACAGCTTCTTCAACGGCTGCGGGAAGTCCCCGTGCAGCGCGCGGAGCGAAGAAACCCAGGACACCCTGACGAAAAACATAGTCGGCCCTAATTGGACAGGACACGCGAGAGGACACAAGACCCTTCCGAGGGCCACATTGCAACAGGAATATAGGAAGCATGGATCGCGAGACACAGGACACAAGGGTACCCTTGATTTGGCAGGGTCGACCTACTGGTCTGGGCCGACTGTATGGTTCGATGCGCGCCCCCCCCGTACCGTAAAACAACTGCTAAAACACAGGCGCCAGGTTGGTAACCGGAGTTCCCGCCCCAGCCGAGGGGCAAACGCGGAGACCGACGCCAGCGGTAGGAAAAGCTCCAGAAGCCCTCTGGGCGTTAGGTAGTTGATCAAGGGGCCCAGGGACACATACATAAATTCACACCAATCCCAGGAACCCCTACATTGTTCAATATGTTTTGGGTTTTCGTCTCCCCACCCTCATTTTTTTGTTAAACGAACTGGGAGTCGAGGATTATTTGCGTGTCTGTACGTCTTTGTTCCCTCCCGAGTTGATCGGACCAGCTAATCGCACGTAATTCCTTCTTCCCCTTCGGGGGGGGTCCTCCCCCCACCCCTGCCCCGCGTGCGTGTGCGCGCGAAGGAGGGTGTTCGAATGCCTCTCGGGATCATTAACTTGTCGACGTGGGGCCCTTCAGAAGCCTCTGGTGGCCTTCTTGGGGGCCTCCTGGCTGGGGGCCTCTTGGGGACAGCCTGCTGCCAACCGTTTTTGGCGACGGCGACTGGCTCACGATTCGCAGGGCTCCAGGGACCCCCTTAGCGCCATCCTGGGGCCCTCTCAAGCCGTCTTGGGCCGTCTGGCTGGCAAACATCAAGCACCCGACGCAGGTGAACGACGAAACGAACGGGGTCTAACGCGAGATGGCATTGTGACATTACGCGGTGGCTTTCGCGGGCCGCCAGCGCGTCAAGCCACATTGGAGTCAAGGGAGCTTACGCGCGACCTTACGCGGGCAACTTGCGCGCCAATGCCAGCGCTGTCGACTCAGGTGTTGCGCGAAGCTAAAACGGTTTTCTGCTTTCTCAGCACCCCCCCCGCGCAGGATCTCTCCTCCCCCTTGTCTTCCTCCGCCTCGCCCCTCCTCCTCCTCCTCCTCCTCCTCCTCCTCCTCCTCCTCCTCCCCGTCCTCCTCATCATCATCATCATCATCACAAACTTTCACTAACTCATACTCACACACTCACTCACTCATCAGTTCGCCACCACTCACTCACTAGGTTGAATATGGAGGAACTATCAAACATGAGCTTCTTCTGGGGGTGGGTTGTGAGGAAGTCTCAGGCGGGAGCCCCCTCCCTATGGGTCCCGCACCTCATGCTGGCAATCCGAATGGGTCATCCTCAACCCTGTAACTGTCGTCACTTTGGTTTCCTGAGGCCTGAATATGATGGAGGTGTCAAGCGGGAGCTTCGTCAGCGAGTGGATCCCAACCCTTTGGGCGACAGGTGGTCTAACTAGATCTCTCCCCTCTCCCAAAAAACCATCTTCCCCTACGGGGAGGGGTTTATCACCGCTCTCCAGTAATATACCCCCCCCCCCAGGCGACTGGGAGCCGACCCGAGTCAATGAGAGCAACCTGAGTCAACTCATCTCCAGAATCTCAAGCACCTCTCGCTCAGGCGCTGCTGTGGGCGAGCCTGCTGCTAGCATGCCACTAAAGACGCAACTCTTCGAAAACCTCATCCACAATCCCCCGCGGTTTCGGCTCGTCGATCTCCAGGCTCCCGAACGTGCGCGGTAACGGGATGACTTTCGGCTTCGTGGAATCGGCACCTGGCTTCTCGACCTGAAAGAGTTTGTGGGTCGCACCTGTCTTCTCATTCTCGAGATATATATATATATATATATATAACCCGTTCTGAGGACTGGAACGGAGGTCTCGCTCGAGGTCGATGAGAGGTTCGAGAAGCTTTCTGATCCTACCGATGACACTGAACTGCACATTGGCGGCCTGATCTCTGCGCGGCTTCAGACGGAGCAAGACCTGGCCGCGAGGAGTGTCGAAACCAAAACCGTCGGGGATGTTCTTCCGACAGCATCTGAAAGTATCCTGGGCGTCCGACGCAGAGGGAAAGGCAATAATCATATCCTTCGCGAGTGTCTGAGGAGTGACCTTTTCATCTGCTGCTGGACTTCAACTGCTGCGCAAGAGGAAAGAATCGCGTCACCTGCCTTCTTAAGCATCTTCTTACTAAACCCATCCTTGGACCCATCCAAGATTGCTTTGAACTGGTTCGCCTCCGAGGAAATCAGAAGTTCTGGACATACTCGAAGCGCCACCCACAGAACGAGCTTTCTTACGATCTGGAGCAGACCCCACATACTCATCACTGTCCAAGCTTTCACAACTGCCTACATCACGACGGAGCTCAGCCAAGAGACGGTCATTATCCTCCACTTTCTTCTGCATCGCTGCAGCAATCTCCTGCTGAACCGACTTCACAAGATGACCCAACCCCGAAAACTGTGCACTGAACTGGGCAAGGACAGTCGTGTGGCCCTCGAGAGTTTTCGCCTGCACCTTCTGGTCTTCTTTGAGCTCGAGTATTCCCTTGACTAACACCTCCACCTGAATAGTACGTGCCTTCACCTGAGCGGCCACGTCAGCATCTGGCATCGCGGCGCAGGCCGATCTATCCGAGGAGGGGACAGGCAGGCAGCAAGCAAGCCAAACCAGCCTGACCCTTGAGCCAAAATGGTTTGAGCCAAAGTGGCTACGGATGATACCTATGATGATGATGATGATGATGATGATGATGATGATGATGATGATGATGATGATGATGATGATGATGATGATGACGATGTTGATGTGGATGTTGATGTTGATGACGATGACGATGACGATGACGATGACGATGATGATGATGATGATGATGATGATGATGATGATGATGATGAGGATGAGGATGAGGATGAGGATGGTGATGGTGACGGTGACGGTGATGGTGATGATGATGGTGAAGAGGAGGAGAAGGACGAGGCGGGAAGGAGGCGCACGCGAGGACGGGGAGGGGGAGGGGGGAAGAACGAGGAGGAGGCAGAAGCGGAGGCGGGGGAGCAGCACGAAGGGGAGGGATGGACGGCGAGGTGGAGGAGCCCGCGCAGCCCGACGGAAGTCCGCCGCGGCGCCCCCGCGAAAGCCGCGGGAAGAGGCTGCGCTCGCCCGCGCGCGGGCCGGCGCCGCGGGCCGCCCGGAGCGCGGGCCAGGCGCGGCGACGGGAGGGGAGCTACAGTCGGACCCGGGCCAGCAGAGCATCCCTCCAGAGCATGAGACCCTCCGTCGGCCAAAACAAACAAAACGTCCAAGGGTACCCTCCCCAAGATGCAAGGAAACATCCAACAAACACGAAGAACACTAAGGCACGCTCCCCGAAGCAGCCTCGATCTTACACACCGGTCGGTAGAAGTAGGTACAAACATGAAGTAGGAAGGCGTTGAAATAGACTGGGCTTCCGCCCGCCCCTGGAAGAGGAGGGAAGGAAAGCACCCGCTCGATCCTTGAAGTAGGAAGGCGCCTAAAGTAGATTGGGAGCTTGACATCCAAAAATACCTACTTTCAAAGACCTACGTGTATACCTCGGTCCGACTGTAACATGGGGGAGACGGGTCCTGAGGGAAACAGGGGCGGCTAACTTCGCGTTTCGCGCTGCGCGCGGCGCGAGTAACCTCGCACTCTCGCGCCGTCCCCCGCGGGGGGGGAGAAGAGGACGAGGAGGAATCGGAACCGAACCGCGAAACGCGAATCACTTTGCGCCCTCCAAGACGCCCTTGGGTGGAGGTGGTGGGGCGTAAGGGACGGGTCGAGAGGAAGGAGGAGGGGAGTGGGACGAAGCCAGGACAAGGAAAAAATCTCTGCAATCGAACGTCTCTGAGATCGGCATGTTTCTGAGATCCGGAGGCTCTGGAGGATGTTTCGGGCGCAGCGGCCTTCCCAGAGCGTTCAGAACGCTCTGAGCCCGTTCAGAAACGCCCTGGACCAGATTTATCCTTGTCCTAGCCCCGTCCAGGGGAGACAGACAGAGAGAAAGATACACATAGACAGACAGACAGACAGACAGACAGACAGA